CTCTCTCTCTCTCTCTCTCTCTCTCTCTCTCGCCAGCAAAATATAAGTAACAAAAGTTGATTAAATTTTGTTTTTTTGCTTACAATACTAAATTTAGATACAAAATACAGTACAATCAATATTAAACATAAATTTAAATAAATAATAATTAATATAAACATGCAATACATATATTAACTACACTATAATATCACACTCTCTGGCATAGAATCTATGCACTACAGAATATTCTGTACACAGTTTGTGTGAATCTACTACAATAGTACAGTAACTGACATCTAGATTGTTTTTAGGTAAAATGATTAGAGCTTAAACATATTAATATTTGATTTAATAATCATGTTAATTTATTAAAATTATTATGATTAAATTAAGTGCATTAACATTTAAAGTATGCAAACCCGAAATATATATCCATGGTGAGATAATACCAAGATCTAATTATAATGAACACTCGCTATAATGAACATACAATATATACAATGCATTAGTATTACAGTCAATGAAAGGGCACATAAAGTGGCGAACTTTATATCCGGACGTACTTTACGTGCGAACCACAGCCTATGCCACACAACACACACACACATTGTGTGGTAACCATAGCGACCGTCAATAACGTCCTGATATATCCTTTTCCTGTTTCTCTCTCACTATTGAAGACATCATAGAAAACGTGTCTTCACTTCAATTCACTGACCAATTGATCCCAAAGTAGTGGACAGTTTGCCGAAGACTCGCAGCGATGGGCGCTTATAAGTACATTCAGGAGATCTGGCGCCACAAGCAGTCGGATGTGATGCGCTTCCTCTTGAGGCTGAGGTGTTGGCAATACAGACAGTTGAATGTCATCCACCGCTGCCCCCGACCCACGCGCACGGAGAAGGCCAGACGTCTGGGATATCGGGCCAAACAGGGATTTGTTGTCTATCGGGTCCGCATCCGAAGAGGTGGCCGCAAGAAGCAGGTGCCCAAAGGTATGCCACTGTTGTGTTGCCATGTGTTGCCGCGATTGTGTTGTGATCTGATCCCCTGTTTCTCGTTGTCGTTGACCATTAGGTGCCACTTATGGTAAGCCGAAGAATCACGGCGTGAATGAGCTGAAGCCCCGCCGCAACCATCAGGCCATCGCCGAAGAGCGCGTCGGCCGTCGTGTGGCCAAAGCCCTACGCGTGTTGGGCTCGTATTGGGTGACACAGGACTCGTGTTTCAAATACTTCGAGGTATTTACGACCGCATATACGTTAATAGTGACCACAACTGATCCATTGTTGTTGTGTATTATCCATTGAACAATAGGTGATTTGCATCGACCCGTTCCACAAGGCTATCCGTCGCGACCCGAAGGTGAACTGGATCTGCGCGCCCACACAGAAACACCGTGAGCTCCGGGGGCTGACGAGCGCCGGCAAGAAGCACAGAGGACTCGGCGGACGCGGTCACGGCTACAGCAAAGTGATCGGCGGCTCCCGTCGGGCCAATTGGCGCCGAAGACAGATATTGCAGTTGCGACGAAAGCGTTAAATCACTTGATATTGTTTTTGTGCCGATTTTTATGATAATCTTTTCGTTTCGGAACTGTATTTCGGAATTAATTAATAAAATTATTAATTTTTCTCGTGATTTAATGTTTAGCTCTTATTTTGCGGCCATATTTGTAGACCTGATTCGTGTCTCAATCGATGAATAATGTCTTCAAATCAATGGCTTAAATGGTGTTTGAAATTGAGATTCAGTTTTTGTTATAGATTTTGAGTTTTTATTTTAATTATTTTTATAGTTATTTACACACATTTAAACTGAATTAATGTTTAATTATATATTTTAATACAAAATATAAACTAATTGTCTATAAAAAGTGACCACAAATACGAAACCAGCGATCGTTAGCCGCATATCTTAGCCTTAATGTTCTCGTAATCGGGTAGACTATCGGTGGGTCCGACGGCGGCCATCACTGGACTCTTGCCGACGATATACTTGCGGCAAACGTTGCGCACGATATCGGCGTTCACGGCGTCTATTCGGGCCTCCATTTCGGGCAATGGTATGCGTCGGCCGTAACACAGCATTTGACGGCCGATGTCTTCGCAGACGGGCGTCGAGCCGTCCAACTGTAGCAACATATTGGTCTTCAGCAGATCCTTGGCTCGAGACACCTGCTCATCGGTCACTTCGTTACACAATTGGGACCACTGGTGACCCAAATGCCAGACAAACTCCTCCAGCGATTGCTTCTCCGCCACGAAATACACGCCCCAAAGACCGGTGTCTTTATAGCAAGTGTTGAACGCCTGAAAACTGTGGCAAAGGTTGCGCTGCGCGGCCGACAGCGCCATATATGACGAACAGTTAGAGCCCGAGCCCTGTGACCGGTCCCACGAGCCGATGAGAGTGTTGGCCACCATTAGGCTAATGTTGTCGGCATTGGCCCAACCGACAGTCTCCAGAGCGATGGCCGCGTACGCCAACGGCATCGAGTGGTCGTTCACTCTGATATCGCAGCCGACGAACGGACACGGCTTCAGCACCGACTCGTCCACCGACCCATTAATAGTGCCAAAGTGTTGAGCGCAGAGCGCGACCAACTGCTGGTGATCGACACCGCCAGCGCCGGCCAACACGAGCCGCGGCCCGCGATAGTGGCCACTGATATAGTCGATGAGGTCCTGGCGCTGAATCTTCTTGATATTCTCGGTGGGCCCCAGAATAGTCATACCCAACGGCGTGTACTTATAGGCCACCGAATGCAAGTGATCGAAGACCACTTCCTGAAGGTTGGTCTCCACCTCTTGCATCTCACGCAAGATCACCGACCGCTCCCTTTCGATCTCTTCGGCGCCGAAGCGCGAGTGTTGCAGAATATCGGCCA